TTCCCAAGTGCTGGGCATGTGCCAATGTTGCAGGCAGCTGAGTTAGACAGAAATATTATAGGCAGTCAGACAGGGTCAGGCCCTCAAGGAGACAAGATGGAAGACAAGGTGACTTTGCAACTTGGAAGAGACAGACGCTTCCATATGGGTCACACCTGAAAACCAAGACAAAAAGAGGAAGCACAGCTACATACTTCCTTAGGGATGCGCATTAGGGATTGATATCCTAAATAGTATCAATCAACTTGAAAGAGCCCAAATGAGTCACTAGCCCAACCCCCAACAGGAAGAGACCCTCTTCCGTATCATGCCCGCTTGCTACATGACTTGCTTTCCCATTTGTTACTGGATTTAATCAATTTTACCTGAGCAATGGTGCTTGTAATCGCATTGGTTGACCATAGTTTTGTCCCACCTCATGCCCACCTAAGCGAGTTCCCATGTCTTCTCCACTACCTTAGACCCACCTCACCACATGGTTTTCCTCTATAAAAGCCCCTGCAAGAGACAACTTCCGGGGGGGAACTACCCGCTCAGGCCCCTCTCCTATCTGTCTCTTGGACAGGAGCTTTCTTTCCTTCAATAAATATATTCTGCTCATAACCTCCGTTTGTTCCTAAAATTCATTCTTCAGTTTTAGAGAACACAAACTCATGCAGGTCAGGTCCAGGGATCGTTTTTCTCTATGTCATTTGGAGGTTCCCTGTATTGTTTGGAGGTCACCCACCCAAGACCAGTTTTTCTCCCTGTATCACCACCATGCCCAGTCTCAGTTGCCATCTCAGTGCACCCTGGGGGTGGGGCCAGCAGGGCATGTGCCAAGGATTAAACCCTGGTCTGTCCAGTGAGTTATCTGGCCAGTGCTAGGGGCAGAGTTTGAGGAGCAGGTTCAGTGACACACAAGCAGCTGACTGGGTGCTCCCTTGTGTGTGCAGGAAAGGTAAGAGGAAGTTGCATCCAGGGCTGGAGTGGGGAAGAAGGAGGAAGTAGTCACTGAGAAGACAAGCTGTTGTTTTGGAGATTCAGCCAGGTTGACTCGGGTCATGATAACTTAGCAGTTTGTACTCGGGCCAGACCTATGAAAAAGCAGAATATATTTGTTGAGAGAAAGAGCACTTCTGTCCAAGAGAGGGACTAGGAACAATGAAGATTAAGAATAGTAAGAATTTTTATTTAGTACAGGGTCTTGCTACACTAGTGATCCTCCTGTCTTAGCTTCCCCAGTGCTAACATTACAGGCATGTGCTGCCATGCCTGGTTCTAGGGCTAGCACAGCATGTGGTAGCAGGGATCGAAACTGGGTCCACTACTTGCCAAGCAGGGGCTTAGGCCACTGAGCTATCTCCCCAACCAGAGAACAGGAAGAATTTAAGAGAAAAGAAAAGCTTCTAAGAGGAACAGAAGTGGGCCCAGAAAGTGGGTTGCCCACTCTAGTAGATTGGTACCTGGTGGTCAACTTGTTATACCCAGCTGAGCTGAACTAACATACTGGGTGCTGGGTGTGGGAGGTCCACCTGAGAATTGTTGCCAGAAGCATAAATCACAGAACTGGAGAAGCTATTGAGACGCTATTAGGGATGCTTCTTGGAGAAGCTGTTGGAGCTGTTGGAAGCTGCTGGTTCTTTTGGGCTATTCTGCTGGAGGACCTTGTCATGCTGGCTTTCCTAATGAACTTGGCTATTCTTAGAGGACGGGCTGAAGACCTCATTGTAGCCAAAAATGGCTGTTCATTTTGGGTGAGCTCTGGTCCTCATTTTGAGCATCACTTCCTGGCTCCATATGGAAAGCTGGTGCACTGCTCAGCCTCATGGAGAAGCTTGTCACATGGGCTTTCCTGATGGGAGCTCAGCTTTCCTCATCACTAGAGGAGCTCAGGACCTCCCTGTTGCTGAGGATGGCTGTGGTACGTTTGGGGGAGCTCTGGTTATCTTGAGCCTTGCTTCCTGGCTCCAATTCAGATCCCTCGGCCTGCTGGCGCAGATCCTTCATCCTGCTGGCATAGACTTTCTAGCTTTCACTACTGACTTTTGTGCCTTTCCAGTGCAGATCCATGAAGCAGGCCTGCATGAAACATTGTCATGGACTCTAGCCTTCCAATTGGACTTGTGAGCAGCATTGTTATGAGCTCTAGGTTTTCAGCTAGACTCATGCAGGATATTAGGATGCAGCCTCCCTCAGCTGGATTCTTTGGTCTTTAGTGTGTGTGTGGATTTCCTGCACTCTTTGTATGTGACTCTTTTGGTGATTATAAAATCTTATAAAGGGGCCAGGGAGATGGCTCAGTAGGATAAGCGCTTGACTGGCAAACGCAAGGATCTGAGTTCAATCCCCGGTTCTGAAAAAAAAAAAAACAACACAAACTTATGTCTTTCTCCCAATGTGAACAACCTTATAAAAACCCCACATCATAACACCCACAAACCCCACTTCTCAAGGGTGTTTTACTGAGCAAAGCCACTAGTGAGATGGGCTTAAGTTGGGGCAGAACTATCATCAATAAGGTTACAAGTATAGCCTCTCAGGTAATATTGACCCAGTGGAAAATCATAGAATGGGTGTGAGGTAGGGAAAAACTATGGTCAACCAATAAGTGTACAACTATAGTCTCTTGGGTAATATTGACTAAGTGGAGATAAAATTGGGAAAGAAGGTACCAAGAACACATGAGGAGGCAAAATTTCCTGGGAGGGGTGGGTAAGGTTTGGTTCTCCACCCCAAGGTGATTGATGCCTACTTAGAATACCAATCACTGCTGTTCATCCCTAGGGAAGTCTATGGGTGAGTAGTTTTTTGTTTTTTGTTTTTCCTTGAAACCTGCATTGACCTCTTGAGGCCCCAGCCCTATCTGCAATATTCCTACCTAACTTAGCTATGCGAGGAGGCCACTCTAGGGAGTCACAGCTGCACAGTCTCACAATGGGAACTCAGCTGGGCAAAGTGACTGGTACTAAAGCTGTGAAAGGAACCACAGCACCCTGAGTCAGGGCTAAGAGAGAGACAGAGAGCACCATAACAGACCCCAGCTATAGAGGCCAACAGTGCTCTAGGGCCTATTGGTGAGAGCGATGCTAGGTGAAGAGGAAGAAATTACCTGTGAAAGCTTTGTGTTAAAAAAAAAAAAAAAGGCAAGCAAGCTTTGGTGAGATTTTGATATAGTGGAAAAATGATCTCGGTGTATAGGGGAAAAAATGAAACTCCTGACCTGAAAGGTATCTGGGATGAGTTTGTGTTCTGTAAAACGAAAGAATGAATTTTAGGAACAAGCAGAGGTGAAGAGCAGAATATATTTATTGGGAGAAAGAAAGCTCCTGTCCGAGAGAGAGACAGAAGAGGGGCCTGAGTGGTTTGTCCCTGGGAAGCTGTCTCCTCTAGGATTATTATAGATTAAAACCGTGGGGTGAGGTGGGTCCAAGGTGGAGAATATGGGAACTCACTTAGGTCGGCATGAGGTGAGACAAAAACTATGATCAACCAAGGAAATTACAAGCACCATTGCTCAGGTAAAATTGATTAAATCCAGGACCAAATAAGGAAGCCAGTCATGGTCTCTTCCTGTTGGGGGTTGGGTTAGTGACTTTAAGTCTCTTTCAAGGTGATTGATATGTATTTTGAATATCAATCCCTGATGCCTATGCCTAGGGAAGTATATGGTTGTATTTTATTTTTTATTTATTTATTTATTTTTGTCTTGAGGTCTGGCCCATAGCCAGAGAGTCTGTCTCTTCTAAAGTTGCAAAGTCACCTTGAGGGCCTGGCCCTGTCTATAATTTTTTTTTTTTTTAATCTAATTCAGCTGTCTACAACAAAAGGGCCACATGCAACAGTGCACAGGGAAGAGACTGCTAAGTGTTGTAGGCAACTAAATTACATAAAAATATTATAGGCAGTCAGACAGGGATAGGCTCTCAACTATAGTCTCTTGGGTAATATTGACTAAATGGAGATAAAATTGGGAAAGGAGACAATATGGAAGATAAGGTGACTTTGCAACTTTGGAAGTGACAGACACTCCAGCTACGGGCCAGCTCAAGACAAAAGAGTTAACAAATGCAGCCACATACTTCCTTAGGGGTAGACATCAGGGATTAATATTCTATTTAGGACAGGTTACAGGGTCTACGGGGTCTTACTACATAGATCCGACTCGTAGTGATTCTCCTGTTTTCAGCCTCCCAAGTGCTGGGATTATAGGCATGCACCACCACACCCAGTCTCAATCGTTGTCTCACCGTGCCTGGAGAACAGGGCCGGCAAGGCAAGCCCGAGATCGAACCCAGGCCCTGTGCTTTAATCTGCTGAGCTATCTGGCTGGCCAGGGATTGATATTCAAAATAGGTATCAATCACCTTGAGCGAGTCCAAATGAGGTACAGACTCTGTTCCCTATTCACGCCCCCTTGCTACTTGACTCACTTCCTCATTTGGTCCAGGATTTAATCAATTTTGCCAGAGCAATGGCGCTTGTAATCTCATTGGCTGATCATAGTTTTTTGTCCCACCTCATGCCCACCTAAGCGAGTTTCCATGTTCTCCACCTTCCACCCACTTCACGGCATGGTTTTACTCTATAAAGTCCTTGGAAGAGACAGCTTTCCAGGGACAATCGGTCGCACCCCCACCCCCCCGAACAGAAGCTTTCTTTCCCCCAGTAAATATATTCTGCTCTTCACCGTTTGTTCATAAAATTCATTCTTCGATTTTAGAGAAACGGACTCATTCCAGGTACCTTTCAGGCTGGGAGTTTCATTCCCCTGTATCACAAGGAGGGACGGGGGACAGTCCCACGGCCAGCCAGCCCAGCCTGCGACAAAGGCCGCTTCTCCCGGACCCTGCTCTTTCTCTTACCCGGTAGGTTTGGCCAAGGACAAAGGCCAGAAGTTCCCGACATCCAGATGCGCGCCCACCACGCGCGCCACCTAGCTGTGGTAGCCCTACTGCGCACGCGCGCGGAGCCGCTTGGAGCCGCGGAACCCAGAGGCTGTGGCTCCTGTTTCCGCCCGGCCGTGAGCTTGAAGTGACGACTCCCGAGCGCCGCGAGGGTCTCCCCGGGGAAGATGGGGAAAGTTCGAGCGCTGCGTGCCCGCGTTCACCAAGCCGCCGTGAAGCCCAGGACGGATCCCACGCTCCCGGTTTCTGAGGCGGGCCCTCCGCCAGCCCGGGCGGGCGGAGCGGGTGCGAAGGTAAGGTGGACGGGGGATAGGCGCAGGGGCCGGGGAATGAAGAGGCCGCGGGGAGGAAGGAGTTTTAAACAGGCAGGTCCGGTGGGGCAGTGTGTCCCTGCCGGTCCCGGCCTTCCCCGCCCTGCCTGGGGAGCATCTTTTGTGGTCTCTAGGCGGGGGAGTGAGAGCCGCAGGGCGGCGAGAGTTCTCGGGGTTCAGGGCACGCTGGGCGCATCTCACCCGGCGGGGTAGAGCCGCCTGTCCTGCACCTCGGCCTCCGCGCAGGGATGCGGTTTGTAGCCCTCTGTATCCAGCTTCTTCCCCCTTGAGCACCCACCCCCCGGTTTGTGGTGGGGGGCGCACAGCTGGTGGGGACAGTAGCCCTACGCTGGCAGTTGAGGCCCAGTGGAGCTCCTGGGACATTTCTGTGAAGTGTGGGGGTTAGTGGTTTGTTTTTCTTTTGCTTTCTTTTCTTTTTTTTTTTTTTTTAAAGGAACTTCTCTGTCCCTTTTTTGGTGTCTTTTTGAGACAGGATCCCACTATGCAATTAAGGCTAACCTTGAAGTCACTATGTAGCCTAAGTTGGGCTTGAACTCATTGTAATCCTCATGCCCCAGCGTCCCAAGTGCTGGAATTACAGGTGTGCACCACCACACCCAGCTTTTTTTCTTTTTAAGAGTCTTGGTATGTAGCCCAGGCTGGCCTTGAGGTGGTGATCTTCTGCCTCAGTTTCCTGAGTGCTGGGGTACAGGAGAACAAAAGTTTGATCCCTAATACTTTTTTTTTTTTCGAGGGTGGACCTGCACTGCATGTGGTGCCAAGGATCAAACCCCAGTCCCCTGCACCTCCCTAAACTTGCCTAAGCAGGCACTTTAGACTACTGAGCCATCTCACCGACCCAACGCTTTTTTTTTTTTTTAAGCGGCAAATAGAACTTGAAAGTATGAAAAATTGAAGTTTCATTTGAATATAGAGCAAAGCAGGAATTCAGGTTTCTAATCTACTGATATTACTGTAATATTTGAGAAACGACATCGTGTGGCTACAAATCCTCAAACAGATAGGGCTTACTAGTTCATCTGCCTGCAGGTTTTCTGGACTCTCAGGTCCCATGAATGCTGGGGATGCAGAGGGAGATGTCTCACCTTGGGATCCCCTCTCGTTCTCAGAATGAGGTGGTCACAGCATTCTTCTAGCACCTGCCGTGCCATTCATTTCAATCCCCTTGGCCTGAAATAATCCTTCTGATACAGGGAGAAAAACTGATCTTGGGTGGGTGACCTTCAAACGATATAGGGAACCTCCAAATGACAGGGAAAAATAATCTCCCGACCTGACCTGCGAGAGTTCGTGTTCTCTAAAACCAAAGAATGAGTTCTATGAACAAACGGAGGTTATGCACAGAATATATTTACTGAGGGAAAGAAAGCTCCTGTCCGAGAGAGGGACAGGAGGGGGGCCCGAGGGGGTAGTCCCCCGGAAGCTGTCTCTTCCAGGGACTTTTATGATGTAAAACCATACAGGGCTAAGGTGGAGAAAGGGGGAACTCACTTAGGTGGATGTGAGGTGGGACAAAACTATGGTCAACCAATGAGATTACAAGCACCATTGCTCAGGTAAAATTGATTAAATCCAGGACCAAATAGGGAAGTGAGTCACGGAGTAAGCGGGCATGAATATGGGACAGGGTCTCTTCCTGTGGGGGTTGGGCTAGTGACTCACTTAGGTCTTTTTAGGTGATGGATACCTATTTAGAATATCAATCCCAGGTGCTACTCTTTTAGCGTTTCTTTGGCCTTTAGGTTTTTTAGGTCTGGTTCACTGCAGGAGCATCTGCCCCTTCCATAATTTTCTTTGTCTTCTGTGTTATCTTCTAGGGCCTGCCCCTGTTTGACTGCCTATAATATTTCTATCTAATTTGGCTACCTGTAACACTTCCACAAGGAGTAGCATATTTGGAGTGGCCCAAAAGGACCCTTCCTTTGAGGCTTGAGTGAGCTAGGTGGGGATCTTGGTGTACCACAGCATAACCAGCAGAGGGACTTGGTGGCCCATGTCCACATTTGTGAGGGTGAATGTGGGTCACAAATAGACTTGGAGGTGGCCAGCTGTGCTGCCATACTTTGTACCTGAAGAGGAAGGGTGGGAGGAAGCCTGCATCCTACTCTTGAGAATGCTGTAGGAGTGCGGTGCAGGGGAGCAGGAGTGAGGCAGGAAGGTAGGGCAAGAGATGAGGCTGCCTCTCCAGTCTCAAAGGCAAGCAAAGCTCAGTGGGGGACCTGACCTTTGATGCTGGGCTGGTGACATCCCATCTCCCTCTGCAGCCTTGAAACCAGCCTAATGCTCTTTCTCTCTGTTCCACTGGGCCTCACAGGACTGGGGGTTCCTCCACACCAACATCTTTACTGGGACCCAGATAGATCCAAGCACCCTGGTGCAGAGGCTAGAAGTGGATGTCAGAAGCGTGGCCTCCCTCGGGAGAGGTGAGTGTCTGTCTCAGGGCAAATTCAAGTTGCGCTGAGCCTGCACTGAGCAAATTCAGGTTGACCTGTGCTTTTAGAAAAGATCTGTTTTTTATGGAAAAATTAAGGAATAGTTTTTGAAAAAGCCCATGTATCTGTCGTGTGCCTTAAGCACCCACGTACTAATGATTTTAAAGTGAACACTAGTCTCTGGCATCACATTCTGTGCTGTCCCTGCCCCCAGTCATGCTGAGCCAGCCATCAAGACCCAGAGTGGATGGTACACTCCTTTATTTCCAGCACTGGGAAGGCTGAAAACAGAAGGATCACTATGAGTCCAAGCTGTGTAATGAGACCCTGTACTAAATACATAAAACAACTATAAATAAATAAAATGTAAACACTAGACACATTTTTCATTCAGAAATTCTTTGGTATTCTTCTGAGTGCTCTTACGAGACCTACTGCTGGGAAGATAGCTCAGCAGAATAAGCACCTGCCTGCCTGCCTGGCTAGGACAATATCCCAAGTTCCATCCCTCGTACCAACAATAACAAAAAAATTTTAAAAAGAGATCTTACTCAGCAATTAACCACTAAGAAGAATATATGCAGCGTATTATTTGTTGAAACTATACTTCCGATTTGATTTGAAACTGTCTCATTGCTATCTGTTTATCAATAAAACTTTGAAGAAAAAAAAAAAGAGATCTTACTTATGTATACTACTATCTTCACACCCAAGTGAGCGAGGGTTTTTTCCTATCAAATAGTATCATCTGTCCATAACGACTATTGTGGTGGAGACCAGGTGTGTAGCTGTGTACATGGGCCTTTTCCCAGCTTTTTCTTCTGCTTTCTTGTGCTGTGGAAGGAAGTCTGGTCTAGGGTTTTGCTGATACATTCCTCTGATGTCCATTATTCTGTTTTTCCAACTGTGTTGGCTTACTCTGTAGGCCAAGATTCTGGCCTGTGGCTCTTGGGAGAGAAGTTCTCAGTGTACTGCAAATGGTGCTTGCTGCCCATTCAGACAAATGTGACCAGGGCCTCCCAGGCGGGCTGCTAGCCCTGCTCTCTGGGGTCTGCCCAGGCTTTCAGCTGAACGCTTTTCATCCTATATGCATTTTAGACTTCAGAGCTTAGGAAGCTTCCTTTTTGTTCATTCTCTGGTTTCAGTGCTGCATGAAATTTTCTTAGCTGTTAAACAGCTTCCAGGATTTTCCTGTGATTTTGTTTTTTTCAGGTTTCCATCTGCAGCTTGTTATAATTATGTCACAGGTATGGTTTAGCCGAGTGTTTTCTGTGGTTTGTCATTGTCAGCGTCATTGCTTTAATTTTTAGGATTTCTTCAGGGCCATGTGTCTTGAGTGTCCTGCTGTTTTGGGGCCTTGATGCCCTCCTGGTGACAGTTCTCAGTATGACACCTGGAGTGCACTGCAGCTCATCATGGCAGTGTTGCTGGGACCTGGATGGGCCTTCCCAGTGCCCTGCCAGCTGTGTGGGCTGAGTCTGCTTGAGTGCTGCGGTTTTGTGGTGACCCACAGGAGTACACAGCTTTTTATACATCTTGTTCTTTCAAGCTTGCTGTTTGGGATAGTTTGGTCAGTTTCCTTAAATGTAAATGAAATCTTTGGGTATGGGTAAGTTCTAGGAATTGAACCTAGGACTTCACACATGCTACCTGCATGGAGAACCACTGAGCTACTGGGTTGGGTCTCCCCCAAGGGCATCCCTTGTTGAGTTTCCCTTGCTGGTACCCCATGTCAGGTCTCACTTTCTTGGTAGGAAATGTGTCTGCTTAGGTTTTCCTCCACTCCCCAGGTATTAACTGCCTTGCCTGGCTTTTCAGCCTCTGCCCAGCTTGTCCTGTCCTCCTACTATGCAGCCTGGGTGGACTTGGTTTTGTGCCACGTGCTCTGAAGTCCCAAGGCTCTAGGATCTCTCCCATGCAGTGTGCCATTCCTTGGTGCCCTTAGAAGGGGATCCTCAGTCCCTTCCCATGGCAAGGCACATGTGGAGGAGCAGGAGTGGCCATGGGGATAGGGGAGCAGCTGGCAGGTGAGTGCTCTGTATCCATGCATAGAGAACCTGTCCGCTCTCCGTGGAGTGCTTTCTCAAAAGGGTTCACTGAACAGTTAGAGTCCTTCTGAGGAATAAAAAGATCTGGGCCCCTTTATTTGTGCCTCCAAGCCCTGAGTAAGAGGACTTGCTCAGCTCTAGTGTGTCTGGATCCTTGGTTTCCTCCTGAGTGTGCCCCACCTTCCATGTCTTGAGGGTACTGAGGGACTGGATTATCCAGCTATGTTACCCTGCCTGGCTTTGGCCCAGCATGGTCTGTCTTCACCAGCTGTGTCTTGTACTGTAGTTCCAGGAAGATTTGGGAAAGCGCTTCTGTGAGAGCCCACCAGCATCCTGGTAACCTGGGTCTCCAGTAGCCCCTGAGCCAGCTTCTAGGACACTTCCTTGGCTGTGGTTTTTCTGAGTGTCACCATGTCCCTCCCATCTCCTGGGAAGCAGCCTGACTGTCTGTGTCCTGGGCTGTGGCTGTGGGCCCTGGTTTCTGGTGTGTGTTCCTAGCGCTGGCCCTGGGTGGGTACAGATGACATAACCTGGTGGGTGAGTTATGCTTCCTCTGCTTCATGAGCACATGTGGTCTGAGACTCAACCTGAAGACCTTCAGAAGGCATCCAGGCGTGGAGGGTTCCTAGCTGGGGAGGGCTGCCTCTGAGGGCTATAGAGGCCCTGTTGTGGGGCTGGCTCTGCCCCTCCTCAACAGCAGGTAGAAGAAGGCCTTGTAGCTCCCAGGCTCCTGTGAGGTAGGTGGGTGGGTCATGTGACTCTTGCCTATGTGCCCATCCTTGTGTCTGAGGCCCTACAATGGAGGGGTCCTCAGCGATATGGCCTGGAGGAGTCACAGCCCTGCCCAGCTCTCCTTGTCCTTCCCCGGGACCCTATTCTGCCACAGTAGCTACATCCTGCAGGCTGAGTTCCTGGGTGCAGACCTGGGTGTTCTTATCTTTTGTATTTTTGCTGGAGCCCTCCTGTGCTATTCTAGGTGGGGACCCTGTGGTTGGAGGTCTGCTCAGCTCTTTAGTATCTCTCTTAGAAGAGAGGCATGGGCAAGGGCATAACCTCACCTGGGCAGTCCCCAAAGATGACCCCCACTCCCACACAGGCTCCATATTGCCTTCTGCAGCAGGGTCAGTGCTGGGAGGGGCTTTCCAGAGCCCTGGGGCCAAGTGAAGTAGTTCTTGGCTCCTCCCAGTTGAGTTGTGGTTGGAGGTTGAGGGCAATGTTAGACCCAGATGACACCCCCTTCTCATCCTTCCTATGCTCAGTACCCCATTGTTTGCAGGTTTCAGCTAGAGCAGTAAACTGGGTACCTTGTGCTTAGCCTGGCAGGTGGTATGGTGTTACTTGGTGCCTGTGACCTTCTGCCTGGGCACAGAGCTCACACTGGCATTGTCCTGTCAGGAGGGGGCAGTCCATTGTGGCTGGCTTCAGAGTCGGGGGCCACATGTGTTCATGTGGAGCTTAGGTAGCTTGAGTCCGGCCTATAAGCCTCCAGGAGGTACCCTCGAGGGCATGCATGTGGCACGCTTAGGTATTAGGCACCTTCCCATGTACCTGACCTCTGTGGTCCACAGCAGAGCCTGTGGACCTGTGGACGAAACCTTTGGGTCTCCTTTGGGAGGTCAGTGTCACCTGTGCACCCATGCTCTGCCCAGCAGAGGGCAGCAGAGCTGTGTGTCCTCTGGTCAGCTCACTGGAGATCAGGACTGCAATGGAGTGTGCTGGGATTTCTTTTCTGCAGTCAGCTCCTCCACCCCCAAGGGGACTCAGGGTTTCCTGTAGAGGTTTCTGCAAAGACAGCTGGGAAGCCAACACAGTGACAGGAACCTCATGTAACCAACTCTATACATGTGTCTATCTGATCCTAAACCTGGACAGGGGTGAGCTCTGAGAATTCCGAGGGGGTCTGTCCTTAGAGGAGGTGACCCTGTCCCTGTCACTTGTGGGAGCTGCTGAGCAGTGACTCATTCCCACCCCGTCCCTTGTGGGACGTTGCTCTGCTGGCTGTGGGTGAGAAGTCCTGTGTCCCTGTGAACGGCACCTTGTTGGGACATGGACCAGGTCTGCAGATATGACCGGTCTGGTCCATAAATGTAGGGTCACTGGGTGGCATTTCTCCGGTGTTCTCTCATGCTGTCATGGAGCACAGTGCTTTGCAGATGTGGGCAGTCTGGCCCATAAGTATAGGGTCACTTGGTGGCATTTCTCTGGTGTTCCCTCACACCATCATGGAGCACAGTGCTTTTTCTTGGTCAGGCCAGGTCAGGCGCCAGCGTAGAGTCAGCTGATTGGGTTCTGTCCTGCCCCCTTTTTCCTTCTGGTGACCTGAGGCTTTCTGGGGTCAGCACTTTTGCCTCAGGGCTGGGGGGACCCAGGAGGTCATCTGTGTAGAGCTAGACAAGCAGGTGACAAAGCCAGGCTGTGGCTCTGCTGACACAGAGGCCCTGCCCTTCCCACCCTGCAGTCTCTGGTGGGGACTGTGTCTGCTCAGACCAGGTGAGGAGACCCTGAATGCCTGTTGGCCTGCAGGCCTTAAAGCTGTTGGAATGTGCAGCAGGAGGAGGTTGGTGGACCGCTGACCTCTGGCCAGCTGTATGCACTACCTATGCTTGGGCACTTAGCTACTCACAGAGTATGAGGATTCTGTGTCAGTTGGCTCAGGCCCTGGGACACAGTTACCTGAGGTGATGTTGGATCCCACATTTGAGGGCCAGCATCCTCCTGTGACCAGGTACTTCAAGACTTGAGCTCAGTCCTGAGGAGAAGGAAGAGGCAGGGCAGCCCCTCACCCCCAGCATGCCCTGGCCACCCCTGGTACACCGCACTATGGCAGACCTAAGTGTTGCAGACAGCCTCTGCCTGAGTTGCTTTGGAAGCAGTGCTCCACCATTGAGAAAGCAGGCATGTGCACGCCTGCACTGGTGCTGCACATGTCTTTTCTGCCGCTTG